TACTACTACTACTACTACTACTACTACTACTACTACTACTACTACTAGCTACTACTACTACTAGCTACTACTACTCCTACTACTACTACTGCTACTACTACTACTGCTACTACTACTGCCACTACTACTGCTACTACTACTACTACGTGCTACTACTACTGCTGCTACTACTACTACTGGCAAAAGTACATGTTGGCTGGTTGATTTGGGGGGGGGTCATAAAAACAACGACCCTATAAGACACTATTCTTCACCTTAGAAGGGGGCCCGGAACTACGGCATGTTTCTTGGGACGTTGCATAGTGTTTCGGAAGCCTGCTCGCAGGTCAACATCAGGAAGGCCAGCAGTATCATATAGCAGTATAATGTCAATATAGTGTTTCTCCTGGCTGTATTGTTCGTCCTGTCACCCCCTGTGCATGATTCTTACCCTAGGGATGTTGGAAGGAAAGATTGAACAGGAGGGCAGAATCAACTCTGAAGGTGTTCGATCACCTCCAGCACCTGCACCTGGCCCCTCGCCATACACTCGCCGAGCAGGTGAGGTCCTGCCTGGTGAGGTCCTGCCGGGTGGCCGCGGCGATGATTGCGGACATCGACTACACATTTTGGGCAGTTGTCTCCTCGAGAGGCCATCGGGCTGGCAAGCCGGATGAACATTGTGCGAAGGCCATATGGCCATATTTGGAGGGAGCTTTCTTGATGAGAGGCAAACGACTTTGGGAGACAAGAAAGCTGGCAAGGCGATCAACACTTGCTTTCCCTGTTTGTTTGAAGGTGCGCTGACATAGCAGGTAGGTTGTTAACTTTAGCTAGTTCATGCTTTTGAATGTTTCAGACTGCTGCACACGTCAATGTCAATGCGGATTTTTGTACCTCTAGGCAGACAAGCGGCGCAACGCCCATTGGCGCAAAGAACCAGTGGCAAGCCACATGTCTTCATTCTTGTGCCAATATTGATATTGGGCAGATCACAATTTGGCTCTCAAAAGATGCGAGCCAGCCTTCGCATTTTGATTGACGGTGATGCGGTCTTTCAAGAAGCGCCAGCACCGATCAATTGTTTGCGTTCCGGCTTTGACTCGAATCTTTTTGTCGGGGCCAGGGAGCTTGTGCTCTACCACCTTGACGTATCGTGGATGGAGCCATTTCCAAACACCCCGTACCTTCACGCGTTTATGCAACACCTGTAGTGAAAGACACAGTCATGCAACACACCTTCCACACGCATACGAGTTGCCTTCACTCCTTTCTTTCAACCTCGTGGGCTGTGAAGAAAGCTTTCCAGTCTCTCTTGGGGCGGCTTCCGGGGCATCATGTCCACTGGAGCTCCTGTGAGCCGCTGGGAGAACAAGCAAAGCACTTCATCTCCGCAAGACCTGCCATCTCCCGCGTCAGACCTGGGCACTCACAAGCGCGCTCCAGCGGACTCTCATCACCGGGTGCAACAGGACTGGGCACACCAGGGCAGTCCTCCTCGGAAGATGTCTCAGACGAAGAATCGCTGCTGCCATCAGACGTACTCTCTCACGATGACGATGCGGGCGCCACGTCTGTCAAAGCAAGAACCTCGAATGCGAGAGTTGTGTGCGCGCGTGCGTGAAAGATGTGTATGTGAGGGGTAACTGTCAAGAAGTTTCTCTGACCATACACTCACAAATTCAACGGGCATACAAATTGCAAGCACATATGAAGAAACTTGTTCGGGAGCTGCCAGGGCCTTGGCTTTCGCCTTCGGTGCCCGGTTCACTTTTTTCGGTCGAGCCAAGATCTCGAGGAAGCGACGTTCGGCCGTTGCAGACCGAGATCCGACAAGCCCCGCTGGTGCCAAACCTAACCCCTTCTGAATGTTGCAGACAATGAGGCAACAAGTTTTTCTCAGAAGGGGTAGGCAGCAGGCGTGACCGGTACATCTCCTTCCAAAGCTCGGTTCAGAAGACGTTGGAGGTCGGAAGCATTGGCTTGGCTGGGTTCCGCTAAAGACAATGTCACCACAGCCTGGCTGCTGCTGAGCACAACACTGCCGGAGACTGGCATGGACATGATGCAGAAAGCGGTAACTGCGGACAGGACGGCGTACCAACAGGACGTCTCACATGCATTCACGGACAATCGGCCTGCAGTCCGCCAACCAATGCTGTTACCTAGTCCTGCTGTGCCACAGTGCCAAGCTGACATTGCTCTGAAATAGTGGCATGTCAAATCTGTGTCAAGTCTGAGCCAAGTCTGACTACAAACCAAAGGGATTCTAAGATTCTAAAAGTTCTAGAAACTGTTCTTAGAATCCCTCCAAAATCTTAGAGTCGAAATGGATTCTAAGATTCGAAGATTTATAGAAACTGTTCTTAGAATCCCTCCAAAATCTTAGAACCCAAAGGAGGTTCAAAGATTTTGGAGGGATTCTAAGACAAGTTTCTAGAAATATTAGAATCTTAGAATCCCTTTGGTTTGTAGTCAGACTTGGCTCTAGAAATCTTTCAATCTTATGAACAAAACAGCATGTAAAAAAAAAAAAAAAAAAACATGAAAAAACAAACCTGTAAATACCAGCAAAATCTTGGAAAAGGTAGGTCTTGGAGGGGTACCATATTTAAAAATATATATATATATCATATCATCATATGTAAATATATGTATATACATATACACCTTGTTGAAGACTTGATATTATACTACACATTACTAAACTTACATTACCACCCCTGCTGTATGTGCAGGATTCCTTGCACACCCGCATCTAATCTCTGCCCAGGATCATGCACCACCTGACGCCTGACACAACACACACACGCAAATGTATATAATATATATGTCTCGAGTTGCTTGGCATTCTCAGGAGGCTATCAACTGAATGTGAATAGATGAGACATGCCTCACTCCGAATAGTCAGCAGCTTTCTGCGGGACCTTTCACAGACCCACACCATCCCACGCCCACTTCTCTTGATTCCAAGACTCCTCCACTCATTCCCCCCCCTCCCAAGGCTCTGCGGCTGCCACGCATGCCCCGGGTGGAGCAGGCCGTGGCGGCCTTGTAAAAGTGCTTTGATGTGCTGGATAAGTCGTGCGACTTCTGCATGAGCGAATCCAAGCTTTCTCCGCGCAGCTGGATAGCATTGATGTTGTTGGTCACCTGGTCCTCAAGAACGGCGGATGGCAAACACCGTGTGCTCACCAGTGCGAAAAGAGAGTAGCCAAAGTCACATGGAAGCCGTGCAAAACAAGGGGGTCAAATGTCTCATACCCCTCTGCTTTACCAACGAGTTTTGCTACACTATGCTGGACACAAATTTAAATGTTGGATCGTTTGTTCGTTGTCTGATCAGTGCGCTTGTCATTGAATTGTCGTGTTATTTCGTTGCGTCTTCATGTCTAGTCTGTGTTGCTAGCAAATCCGCAGCGGGATACCGAGCTTCATGTCCAACCAGCAAGGGAAATCCCGTCCAAAGGCTGCCGGGAATGCACGTGGAATGCACAGGGCCCTAGTCAACTGTTAGGTTAACTACTGCTTTTGCAGCTGTTGCTTTAAGGCTGTGGCACTGCCAGGGCCTAGCCTCTATATCATCAGCAACTTCTTCCACATCCTTTTCAAGGGATCTTACAGCCGTGCAATCGGATTGATAGACCCCAGAGCGGAGCCCCAACCCAGTCGGCAGTTGCAAGTAAGGCCCGGGCATGTCCGCCTTTTTCCAGGGTATTTTCGCGCCAGGTTTTCCCGACCGTCTGCACACAAAACCTTCAAAGCCAAGAAACACATAGAACGGTAGCCTGATTTGCATATGGAGGCGGAAGCTTAATTAAGTCGCCATTCCTTTTGTTTCTCATGGGTGACCGTTCTAATTAAGAATTATTGATGCAAACACCTAAGAACTTATTTAAAACACCTGTAGATGCCCCTAGAACATATAGTTGTTGTGTCACATTCCTGAAAGAGAAAATTTGCAGCAACAAAAGTTGTTTCACAGCAAAAAAAAGTTCTTTCTGCCTCAGGGCGGGAAGAGCCGCTCTTCCCGAGAAGAGGGATTAATCTTTGGCACAAGGATCTTCTAGGTATTGCAAACAGCGGCTTGCTTGTCAAGCATTGGTCGAGCTCGCTCTCTCTCTCTCTCTCTCTCGTTCGTCTCTCTCAAACTGATCTCTTCCCTTTAGCCTTTAGCTCCATGTGGTCAAAAAATGTCAAAAAGGCAAACGGCATGGCCACCCCTCCTAACTGAAACGCCTTTCGTGACCCGGAAATCAGGTCACGTAAGGGGATCCAGAGGTTGCCTGAGGCCACCTTTCGTGACATGAACATGTCCTCGAGTCCTCGAAGATTTCTGGAGCTTTGGAGGCTAACCGATGTTCATGTCCTTCACTGGGTTGGGCTTGCTGGCCATGTTGTTTTCAGTTTCCTTCGGCCCAGACTACGAGAAAGTCACCTCGTGGTCGTTACGTTCCCAGTTTGGGAGGGAGTGCAAGGCTGCCTTGAGCAGATGTGAGTGGCTTAGGTGCAGGTTTGAACTACCATGACTCTTTCGTCACCTTGTTGTAGCATTGTAGCATAAATATATAAAGAGTGGGACCCTATTCATTGCTCCTCAGTCGAAGACTACAGGTAGAGCTCTTTTGGCCATGCCCCACGAAGTCTCCTTCGCGACGCTGATGTCTTGTCCAGTGGAGGGAGCTTTGTGCTTTTTTGTTCAACGGTCGAAGCAAGTCGACATGGGCAACTCCAATGCAGGATAAAGCAAGGCAGCAGGGAGCAGGGCAGCAGGGCATCACTACTAGTAGCTATACATAGACTACTAGTAGAAATGCCCTACTAGTAGCAATGCCCTTGTTACTAGTAGCTTCTTGTTCGTAGTGTCTAAGCGCACCTTGGGATCTGTCATATCCGTTCTCCCGCATCGTTCGCTCTACACGGAGGTGGATGGCATGGCCCCGTGGATGAGCATTTTCCGACCAAACAGGTGGGAGTGCAAGAGATCATAGACGAGGGAATTCCAAATTCGACACGAATCCAATATATAAGCTGAACATGGAACTACTGTGGGGAGCATCTACCAATCTACCTTTTTCATCCTGTTTCTGGGGGAACTCAAGCCCCTCTTTGTCTGCTCCGCTTCTTCCGTTTGCAGTTCCAAGTGTCCTTGACACGCTGCATCTCCTGGCCGGTGGGTGCCAAAGCCAGAGGTGGCACGTTGCGGTTTCTGACACGCCGCGGTTGAACCCACCAGAAAAAATGCTTCATTGGGAGTCGTCATCGGAAAGGGTTCATCATTCATCAAGTCAGGCAAACTGACACCACCAACCTGCCTTGACTTTGGGCTCCTGCTGTGGATGATCGTTCACTGTGGTTCCTTACAAACTTCGGGGTGCTGCAGCAACATCCAGCGTTGATATATGGGTGAAATCCATACCTCCTTGGGATTGCTCCACCGTGCACCATGAAGAGCTCAGAAACTGAAATTCCTGCTGATTGAAACTCAGATCCATTCACTTTAATGTTGCATCCTGATTAGTATAATGGGACGGAATTATAAAAAGCGTTCGCCAAATTATTCACATTAGTTTAATGGGACGGAATAACTTTAAAAAAATCACCCAGGGTGTTTTTGTTTGGCTTTGTTTACTGTTCTATTGTTCTGCTATTGCTCCCCCTTTGAAATCCTTAACTCTCCTGAGGTTTGCTTGATTCATGGAATTCTGACCTGGAAATCGTTTTCGAATCTGAATTATCCTTGACTCAGACTTATTCTCACCTCTCCAGTTCTCTCGTGCCATCTTCAACCCCCGGTCTCCACCGGAAACACCCGGTCGCCAATCTGACTGACGGTCACCCCAGCGCATCTCCTCCGAGATCTTCTGCTTCTTCAGCTGTTCGGCTTGTTTCAACTCCTCCTCTGCCTTGCGCACCTGGAGCTCCTGCACCTTTTCGCCCTCAATCATCGATGTCCTCAACAGCGAATACTCGCGACGACTAAATATCTGGTGGTTGAAACAGTCCACCACCTGAGATATGCCACAAGTTGTCACAAGTATATAAGTATGCTGCACGCGTGCCTCCAAGTGCAGGCGTTTTTACCACCCACCCAACATAGTCCAAACAAGTTGCAAGTTCGTCCATCCACTACAAGTAGCCCATTAAACAGGGGCAACACGCGCATCCTCTTGGGGTATTCTTTGAAAGAATGGTGTTGCTCCCAGAACGACCAAGCGTCATTTCTTTCACCTGCGCCTGAACGACTTCCAGCCGCTTGCACGGTGTGGCGGCCTCTTGGGGCTGTAGCAGGTCGGGCGAGAAGGAGAGCAAGTCGCTGGGAATTTGGAACTTCACGAAGAGCTGCAAGATCTCCTCCGTCGCTGCATCGCTGGGCCCCAGAAGATCCGAAGAAAAACCCGAAGAAACACAACTGTGGCGGATTGACATCGGTCCGGTGCCAACGAGTGCCTGTGAGCCTCACTATGTCTTGTGCACAGGTGGGAAATTTAATGATATATATATATGTATGTATTTATATATATAACTACATACATATATATATATGTACATGTATAGCTAGACTTAGACCACCAAAAAAATGACATACGTACCGGTTTGTGCTGTAGAAGGGTGGTGCAATCTTGCTGTGTGCCAAAGAGAAAGCTGTTATTGTGCCAGAGGATTCAATGCGGATACAGCTGCAATTTCCAGACAATAATTTTGAAGATCTATCGACGGTATGAGCACTGGCAGGATTCTCATGACGCAAACGTTTGACCGCCTTTACCCCGCGCAGCACTCATCCCATTGATTTGGAAAAGTGCCAAGCACACGAAGTGCCAGATGCAGTACACACAGATCAGAGTTTCTGTGCCAGCACTCACAGTGAGCACTCCGGACTTTTGACCGCAAACAAATAACCAACCCGGCAATGCTGATTCAGCTGGACTCTTTCTTTGAGGAAGGGGGGAAAAGAGGTCAATGAGGAGGGTCAGCCCGCCTTTGGTCTCGAATTTGCGACCAGTCTTTGGGTCCTGAATTTACACTCCCTGGAACTAATATGGAAGTGGAGAATGGCCCCTTGGAAGACCATTTTCCACTACAAATAGGTGGGTTTCCACTTCCATGTTAATTCCAGGGAGAGTCATCTTATTATGGGTGTAACTTTGTAAGCAAGAGAGTGATCTTCATCGAGGCCATGACCGACAATTCTTCGTGCAGAGCACGGAGAGGCTTGGGGTTGGCCGTCTGAAGCAAACACTCGATACCTTTGGATGCAGTTGGAGGTGAAGAAGGAGAACTTGAAGATGGATGGCATCCCGCCCTTTGGAACCTTTGAGACTTGGGCACGAAGCGATGTTTTCCGCGCCAGAGGAGAGAGTTCCTGATGTACCTGATTGGAGTAGGTTGGAGTGATAGAGATGAAGGTTGATGGAAAGGAGGAGATGTTCAGCCATATTGGTGAAGAAACCTTCCAAGAGGAGCTTGCAAAGAAGACATTGGCAAGACAAATGAAGGAAGTGAAGAAGCAAATGATCCAGGTGGTGACCGAAGAGTGCAATGGATGCAGCTACAAGTTCCCAAAGAGCATGGTGAAGATTGTAATTTTGCTCTTACTACAACCTGGAGCCCTTAGATTACCAAATGGACCTGGTGGTGAAGAGAACTACACCCAGGAGAACATGGAGGAGAACGGTGGTGACAGCTCTTGGAACTACATCAAGGTGTTCTTGCTGTACACGTTCCTTGTGCTCTTTGGCATGTATGGGTGTCAAGACTTGTCAAGACTCCTACATGCACATGGAAAGACATGTCACGACTCGGCCCAGAGTGGTGGGGCGCGTCGTCCTCTTTTTTTCACGTTTCTTGGCACGGGATAGATCATCTTCCAGGCCCACGGGAGAGAAGTGCCGGTGATGGATGTCTACTCTGCGTTGGCACTGATTGGAATGCACTGATTGGAATCCTTCAAGGTAACTAGACCGTCCTTCAGTCTGAAACCTACGCAAGTATGATCCAATAAAAAGTTTGGTCTGTGCAAATTGATACTGACAATCCTCGAGTGAGTCCTATCAGTTGCGAGGACAGTCCAGGCAGTCCTACGCCCATCCACTCCCGAAGACGGAGACTGTGAAACCGAACCCTGAACTGAAGCCCAGTCACCCACAAGATGGTTCAAACGAAGAGGGAAGTGATAAGGGCTTTTAGTGTTCAACTTTACCCTTGTGAAGGGTCATCTACATTGTCCATGGAAAGCGCAGCGCCAAAAAGAAAAAGCTGCAGCTCCTGCGTCAGTTTGATCTCTTTGGTGAGGCTATCAACCGGCAAGTTGAGAAGTTGCTCCAGCTGCGGCTTGATCTGCACAACCACAATTCCTGACTCCACTCACTCTGGCTGAACCCGGAAAATGAACGTCACAAAAAACATCATATAGCTACTGTCCTATGGGTTCCTCGCTTGGAGTGACCTCATCTACTCTATGTATATATATATATATCCTTGTGTATATATATATATATATATCCTTATATGATCTTATATGTCCTTTTGTTTGAGGCAGAGCTATCCGTCTGCAGTGTTTTGGCTTTGACTATAAGTGTGTCAACTAGGGGGTCATAGTTGATATCGCTTCGGAGGCCAACCTGCAATGGGGATTGACTTGGGCTGGAGGTCGAGAGACCCGGACTGGCTGGCCAGAACACGATGTTCGCCTCCACGGGCCCTTCGTCTTCTCATCCAGTTCCCTGCGCTTCACTGCAGGCTGAGAGTCCGAACAAGGTGCTCTCCAACTGCATGGCACGGAAGGCCTTGGCGAAGGCTTGCTGCTCTGGGGACAGAGACTCGATGGCGTCCTGGCCGAGTGGCGGGAGGGGCGGATGGTCCACAAGGTGCCCATGATTTGCAGATTGGGGGTTGTGCCATCCACTCCGAAACCACGGCCTATCTATCCAGCTGAAGAGCTGGGACCTCACTGAAAAGAATGAAAGAGATCACCGAAAATTCTGGTGAACAGTTGGGTTCATACCCTAAAGCCATCAGAAATCCCGCAAGAATCGGAGCTCTCCTGAACATCGGGTTCCGAATGCACCGCCCCAAAACGCACTCACCCTCCCAGCTGCCTTCTGCACCCTTTCTTCCAAGATCTAACCTGGTAATCCATGTTCTCCCACTTCTCCGACTCAACCGGGTCGATCGCACCATGTTCTCAGGCGGTGCGCCGGGTGCGACGGGTCCGGAAAACCGTCGACCGCGCGGGCCTTGAACTCCTGCGGTGTGGGGATCGTCGACAAATCCAGAGGAATCTCCAGTTCGTCCTGGCGAACTCACGAGGCGACCCGGACAGTTCAGTCAGACACATGACACAAACCTTTTTACATCTCAGTGGATGAACTCAGGATATCTCAGGTATGGCTCGCCATGCCACGAAGTGGCCGTGATTTCAGGACTTGAGGCTTGCATCTCCCTAGCTTTGGAGAGATATTGAAAGACAAATAGAATAAACAAATACAAACATGGCGATACGTAGCGACGAATCTGCTGGATGATTGGTTGCTGTTGATGCGGAGTAATTTTGATTGACGTTGACCAAGAACATGTTCGCTTTCGTTTAGCAGCTTGTGCCGGTGGCCGCATCACCATCAAAAAGTTGGCAGATTCCAGACTATCGACCTGGAGCTTGGATGAGGAGTCCATCTCTCATTCTTGTTCTCAGAGCAATTTATGATGTCCTCGAACAAAGTCCCTCCATATGGACACCCAGTGCAGTGCACTACTCTCATTTGGAGGTCCAAAAGGGGTGCCGCTTACAACTTCGAGGGTATAAACCCTAGAGGAATGGAAACCACCCAGGAAATACCCAGATGTCACCAATCCATTCCTAAGTTGATAATACTGTATTTAGATGTAATGAGATGACTAGTTAGATGTAACTAGTAATGGAGCGATGTTAGGGGGGCTGCAGCTTTGCTAAGAAGCTGGGACACTAGGCCGACGTGAGTTTCCTCGGGGTTCCACTGGGCTGACATGGGCTCCCTCTTTATGGGCTCCCTGAGCTGTGGCATCTAGTAGCTTCTTGTTCCTAGTAAGGCCAGCAGCCCCTAGTAGCGTCCTTGCTCCTAGTAGCGATGCCAGGAGCCCCTAGTAGCTTCTTGTTACTACCATATGACTTCGTAGCAGTCGCTTTCCAGCCCATTCCCAAGAAACTCCACCAGCCAACTCCACTTTCCGCCCGAAGCGAACTGGACATCAAAAAATCAGGGCCGGTCAACCCATCCTGTCCTTGTTCTGCAGTAAGATGGCATACTTGGGATCAAACTCCGTCGCTGAAGTCACTCGACCCACCAACACCATGAAGCAACTGAACTGCTGCGCCCGAGACAGCAAGGACAAGCTGCTCGAGCGTTGTCCGGCAAACTCATGAGCTAGCCATGCGTGAAGGTGCACATTACCAGTAAAGGAGACCTCATGCCGTGTGTGAAAAGTCAATAGTCATCCATTCATCATCTGACATCACCCTGCGATCAACAAACCCCAAGCTTGAATGAAGAACTCCACTCTTGAACCCTGGAGCCTGGAAATCCATTGCAGGTGAATTCCTTCGGGAATTGCTAAACAACCTGTCGGGGTTTCCTTCTTCCGGCCCAAGAAAACACGCCTGTTTGCTGGCCCGGACGAATTGCAATCTAAAAATCCAACAAAGTCCAAAATGAACCCGGTCAAAAAGCAAAAGACAACTCCAAACTATCACCAAGGCTCTTTGGTGGATGCATTCAGCGGGAAGCTCATGCTCTGCCCCTCTCTCGACGAGCAGATGCTGCAGAGGGGTCCCGCCTCACTTGCCCCAAGGCCGGGAGGCGGAGATGGGTCGGAAAACCACTGGCTTTGCAAAGGAAATGGGTCCAACTGGAGCAAGACAATTTGATCATCTGACATGTGTAAAGTCTCACATCCATCTAGAGACAGCAAATCCAGCATGAATATGAAACAAACTTGAGGATCAGGATCGGTCTTTTGAAGAGTATCCTTCTGGTCCTTCCTACAGAAGGATCTGTTTCTCACAAGTAGATCGGATCTTGTTATTCAAAAGGTTATCTGTTTAAAGTGCGTTCACAATTGTAGAAACACGGCATCTGTCATGGTATCTACGCCTACATACCAGCATGATGCCTTATCCAAAATTTTCCGTTATCATACAATGCTATTCTCCTTTGTACAAGTTTAATCTTTGACCAGACCCTGACCATATAAACACAGCATCCAACATTATCCAGAACCGTGCATTATACAAGGCTATTATCCTCGACCGTATAAATGCGTATACCGTATATATGAGTTCGGCGTCCTCTATTAAGGAAGGTCCTTAGTCGGTTAATCGTAACGCCTTAAACCCTTAATTCCTTAACGCCTTCAGGTCTTAATTCATTCAGGCCTTAAAGCCTTATTCCCTTAACGCCTTCAAGCCTTGAGTCCTTAAGGTGATCCCACTAATCTGCCTCTAAGCCCCAGCTAGCCGGGTTTACCCTCAAAGGGTCCCCGGTCCACGTTTCGAGGCTAGACCCCAAACGCATTAGGGAAAACCGTGCTTGCTTCCGTTCACCTCGTTCACCTCACGTGGGATTTCATGGCGATCCGAGCAAATCGTCTGAAAAAACGACGCCAACACCGCACATCTACTCCGCCACAACCAACCACAAGGAACATACACTACCAACCAGATCCAAGGCCCGACACCTGTGGGGGGCTCCTTTGCCTGGACAGGGTAGGTGGGACAAGGACTGTGCCTTCTATCAAGTGCTTTAGTGCCCAACTGAGATCCTTTCGGAAGAATTGGAAAATGAGAGATCCAACAAAAGACCCACCAAGTGGAGATCTCTTTCTGATGAATGTCCAGATCCTAGCGTCCGATAGCGATCCGAGTGATTGTGATTCCACCCAGCGGCTCCTCCCTTCTCTTCGATGCTCAGGGTGCCCTCCGGAGAATGCCGCGGGTCCCGGCGGACCGGAAAGCTGAAGGCCGTGGGCTGAAACGCCTCGCGGAAGAGCTTTCCTCGGGGAGGACCGGAGGACGACTCCACCGTGTGAGCACCACATCGGCGGATGGATGGAGCACCACGGAGCCGTCACTATCTTTGAAAGCGGATCGTGTTGTTTGTTGCTTTACCAGGATAGCAATCCACCGAAAAGGTTTAAGGTTCTTTCACTGAGTAGGTATATGATGGGTATGCAAAGAATACATTTAGATACATTTAGCATGTGCAGGTGAAAGAAAATTCAATTCCATCAACAGCACGTCAAAGCCCACATCCTTGCCCCCTAGCTTCGATAGTGAAAGCGCATGTAATGGGCAAAATCCACCACTGTGACCTCTTTCCCAATGGCAGCGACCAACTGATCCTGCAGCATCTGTTCCACAAAGTTCAGGCTTCCACACCACTGTTTCACCACCTCCAAGCAATGGAGCAATCCCACTAGCAGAAAAGCCGCCCCTGGTGTGAAGACGCCGCGGTCTTGCACCTGCAAAGGCAGGCCACTTCAAAGTCCCCTCAACCAACTCAATCTTTTGCAAGACCCTTCCGAAAACATATACATCTGACGCAGGGAGAACTCTCTCAAGACATGCCTGCCGCCTGGTCATGAAGAAAAGAACCCTACGTCACTGTGGATCTGCGCTCGGGTCGCTCATTACCCTCCAACAGGTCTCCTCTGGTTGCTTTTGGAGACTTAAAAGTGGTAGGTGGTGACCTATTGGAGGGTGCTGGTATAGATACCTCCACAACATATATATATATATATGTAGAGCGAGTTCGATTCCAACAGGGACCCAACAAATATTCACTCAGCATGCCTCTACAAAAGTACTCTATTTGCAAATTAAAAACGACCACTCGATGGCGTCTGCCATCCACAGCTTCATGCCCTAGCATCGGCCTCTTCAGCCAAACTCTCCTTCTTCGCGAGCCAGGTTCGCATCTCTTCCTTCAGCAGTCGGTTGCCATCCGCCACCGAGATCACTGGGCCATCTCGATCAGTCTCATTGCAGAGGCACAGAGGCCCTGACATCCAGAGGAAAGGGGTAGAGGCCCGTCCCGCTTTTAGAGTGGAGATGTTTAGGTTATAAAATATATAACACATAAACTGTACTAAGACTAGGTTCTGATGACATAGGATTTATGATGTCTGATGGCTTGGGAAGAGCAGGCGGGTACTCCTTACTCCTTAGTGCGCTACCATCGCAAGAAAACATATATAGGAAAAAACAATGTCCGGCACATGAGCCAGGACTTGGGGATACAGGCTCGAGCATGCTCCGATTGATTCCAGCTATTTTCCCTATCCTTGGGCTGATGAGAAAGGAGATGTTACCCAGCTGCCAGCGCAGTCGTTTCCTGATGAATAAGGAATTGTTGATTTTTGCAAAATGACCACCCTGCCTGATTCCTGAACCTCCTGCAGATCAACGTCTTCCGCATCCGCAAAGAGTGGCAACGCAGGGACGAAAATTGTTTCAGCAGAGAGGTTCGCAGAGCTCGTGAAAGCATCCCGGCGGCTAAGGCTCTCGAGGTATCCTGAGGATGAATGCAATGACTATAGAGTCAGATGATTAAAAATACAAACTGCTGAGAGCGTCGAATCTATAGGTTTTGCCACCCCTCAGAACTCTTGAAGAAAGCCACAAGTAGACACATGCCTATAATTGAGCGAAGATAGCGAAGCTCCCCCATCCACTCTTCGTGCAGTCATCTCCATTCCAATCGACTCCTGACCGCACAGACCGCACCAAGCATCTGGTGACTGACATGAAGAACCGCACCAGATTCTCCAAATACTCGGCGATCGCCGCCGTCTGGGCATTCCTCCGGGGGGTCTTCGTCTTCGGCGAAGACCGGTCAATCTGGAAGATCGGACGGAGACCTCCGTCGTGCTCCTGGTTGGGAAGGAGCGTGAGTGGAGAGGGCCACCAGGGCGGTGGTTCTCAATTCTCTCCGATTCAGGATGTGCCGTTAGAGACCATGTGGTGTTGAATATCCTGGGGGTGAATCTTCATCTATCTATTGATTGAAGATTCCACCTTTATATGGATCATGCCGTGGCCTCCAAAAGTTTGAGGAGCTCCGTGATGCGTACTGATTCACAATGTGCTGGCACATTGGCTGCTGGGCGCGGGGACACCTTGGTCTTATTCTTGAGCTCGGTGCTCTGTGAGTGGCTTTGCAACAAAAGTCGATCTGATGCTTCGGCTCCCACCCCTCGAAGGAGCTCCACCTCGCGGGAACGAAGGGGCTGCGGCTGATGGTCTAACCATTGGTCCCTCCTTGCATCCACTGGACTCAAAGGACCACAAATTCGGTTCCATTCGACGGTGATATCCCATTTAGCCTAAATATGATATTATTGTATATAAATAATATTGTAGCAGTTTGTTGGCCATTTATATATTGTTGCATACAACCTGACATGTTGAGTGGTGTATGTTCACTAGGAAACCTTTGCGAATTATTGGATCTTGTTCAGTCTCTCTCACCTAAAAGAAAGCTTCTGAAAGGCTTCACCAACACCTGCATGAAACTGGCCGGTCGCCTTGTAGGTCACCTCAAAGTTCCAAAAGAACTGTGTCTCTTTGGTGACCGTCTTGCTGGTCAATCCCATGGCATAGCCGACCGAGAACTCGGTCACCGATCTGCTGGCATCTTCGACCTCTCGAGTCTCTTCTCTCAGGAAGCTACATCGCTCCTCTGCCGTGAAGCGAAGGGAGACCTGCCGGAGCCGCGGCAATCCGCCCGCGGCAGATCGGTCAGGTCCCGTCGGGCTGGGGTCTGAAGAGGGGTCTGAACGAGCAAGGGAGTTTTGCGGAGTTTCAACCGAGAAATCAGCCAGAAACAGGATGGCGTGGCAGGTCTGTTGGCAAACAATGGCTAGCAAACTCATTTGTAGCTGGTGCAACATGTGTTCCTTCTAGCAAAATGGCGGTGGAAACTGGAGAAAATCGGAGGACTGTGACTACACAACGTTAAATATATATATATATACTCCTTTAGGGTCTCAATTCTCGACTGCCAATGCGAAAAATGATGGACCTCTGGTGGGAAAATCCTTCTTAATGTCCAACGATCGTTTCTCAAATCTGTTCTATCGCTATCATATAGCCGCCCGGGGAAAGTAAAGTCATGCTGTCAGGCTGTTTCTTGCAATGCCCTAGCTCCAGCTTGCAATCACAAATGAGAAGCTGTTTTGAGCGGCAATTTACCCCCCTCTTGATGACGCGCATGACAAAACTGACTAACAACCATGTGCCAATTCTAGGGATACCATATCCAGTTGAAAAAACTTCAAAGGCTCCAATCTGTTCCAATGGTTCTCCAGATCGTTCTGGGCTCCGCCAAGCCTCTTCACACTGTGAGCGCCTACCCCCACTGTCATTCACCCACCATTCACCCACCTCTGCACGCTCTGCCCAACGCTTCACTTCCATCCATTTCCTGACACGCGGAGCCGCGTCCGAGAAAGCCATCTTAAGGGTCCAGAAGAGAAGACTGCGCCGTCTTGGGACCTGGTGAAAACAGTACAAGTCGTGGTAGATATTCCAGATGTTTATATTAGATGTTTGTGTGACAGGTCCTTCCTCCCCATGTCGATGCTTTCAAGTACAAAAAGAAACCGCGCGCACAGGGGTCCGTCCCAGATTCCGGGCCACGTGGCGACTCCACTGGATCTCGACTGTGTGAACGTTGAACACCCACAGACGCACCCGCACACCCGAAGGAAAAAACCGACTGGCGGTGCTTCTAGGCCCAGAATCTCTTTGTGGAGGCCCAAGATGGCTTCGAAGCAGTTCACCTGCGAAGCTAAGGTCAGCTGCGTCACACGTTCCACCAAGGCGAACTTGTCCTGCCAGGCCGGTGACAGTCGTGGGGACGTGGACGCGGCATCATATGGACGGCCGCTCGGTATTGAACCAGAGACTCAAAAAATGACTGTGCATTTGATTGCATACTGACTGAGATTGGCATGGTATTCTCTGAATCTGGGATACAAAGAATTCGCCTTGGACTACCAGGATTAGATCTCATGTGGAGAGCACCATCCCCTTGTCTGGCAACACTCTCTGATGTGTCATGCTTCTTGACATATAGCTACACTGACATGTACTCTTGGCGACGTGATTTTTAGGGACCTCGCGATGCACAAATTCATCACAAAACCTGTTCGACAGGATGTTTTGTCACGGGGCAGAATTCTACCAACCCTCCTGGAGACTGGAAGTGTTGCGACCATGTGCCAATCTGGCAGCATATGAAACAAGTTTCTCAGTCTCATATTTCACCCGAATCATCGGCCAGTTTGGTTCCCCAGCGACCAGCAGATTGAAACTTGGCGCAAAAAGACTCCTCATAACCATGGTGTGTCTCATTCGGCAGCTGCAGGGATTTCTGGGAGGATAACACCAGCTTGGCTTGCTGCACGGCCCTCCTAAGTTCCCGAACGGATTCCGGCTCTTCACAGATCTTCACAGGGTGGGACAGGTGTTCCGAACTGCAGCCGTTGAGCTGAAAAATCTCTTCGTGAGGATTTTCGGTGAAGATTCGCCATCAGTTCGTCCATCAGTTCGTTCGATGGGAACTCAGTGCTCAACCAGCGTGAAAACGCACCGCGTTTTCCGCGCAGCACCCGGAACGACGGAACGATCCACCGCGCCCGGAACCCAGAAAGCGATTCGTGGACGAACGGGAGAAGATGGAGACCCTTTTTGAGTCGGGAGACGCGCACAAAAGGGTTTGGGTCGCTTTGGTTTGGATCCAAATGCGGCAAAAGATGAACAAAAATGGCCAGGTGGCTGTAACCGGCCCTCGAATTCTGACATCTGCAGCGCAAGCGACATGCTTTGGTCAGGTGGACTAATTGGCTTTGCTTTGCCTTCCAAATGGCTGCAGTTCAAGCCGCACTAAACATGTTTGTGGCAATTGTTGCAGGTATTGCATCTTCCACATCTATGAAAATCTGGTACTGCTCCATCAATCAGGGGTTGTGCTTACAGTGCTTTCTCGCCGCACCTGGATATTGTTATACAACGCGTTAGCATCTTCAGTGGAATGCCCATATGCCCACATGTGTATGAAATGCTACCTCACAAACATGAGATATTCAGAAAGCTGGAAACCAATTAGAGGGACCAACATCTAAGAACTGCACCAAGTCCAACATCCTATTTAAACCATTTTTAACCATTCCCTCCACAGCACTCAGACCGCTCCCTGGACATCGGTGTCCGGGGGGCCGGACTCCAGCTGGCGTCGGAGATCGAGGGCGTTCAGGAACCTCAAGGCGTGACTGGGTGCGACACCGTTCGTGTCCGACACCGAGAGCTCCTGGTGTTTCCCCATCCGGCGTCTACACACGCACGGCACGACACGCACGGCTTGATGCTTAGGGATGGTGGTAACCTGGGTATACACGCAGGCTATTGGGATCCTTAGGGGTCGGTGGAGCCCTGCGATTCGGATTTGTCTGGAGCTGGAACCCCTGCGAACCCATGCGACGAGTTGGTTCACCCATTCAGATTTGTCCGGCTCTGCAGCAACGTTTGCAGACAAGGTGATCAATTGTTGATCATGGTGAGCACTCACCTCTTGTGCGCCAAAAAGAAAGGACCTGGTACGTGCAGGAAGGCACTTAGACTAAAGACCTGTTGGCTTGGGGGGCATCCCTAGTATTTCCAAACTAAAATTCTTATTGATCAAAGTATCACTGCGAAGCGAGGCCGCTCACGAAGCGAGCCGATTCCAAGTTGCTACTGACCTTGCCCCGAAACCCAGATGATAAGACGAGCTAATTAAGGCAAGTCTCGGTTGCATCTCCTGATGATAGCCATTGATCTCCTCTGCGGTGTTGGCCTCGTTGCTTCCAACACCAACACACACACGTTTGTCGCTTATGCGGCAAACCAGGCAAACCGGAACCGAACAGCATGGCAAAGAAAGTGGCGGTGATGGGCTTTGGCCGGAGGGCGGTGCCATGGACACCCCGAGCTATGCGTTGTATGGTGCAGCATTATACTGATGTTCGTGTTGATTCTGTGTCATGTGTGTTGATCGTCACATGGTTTGCGTGATGTTTCATGCTGTTTCTAGTCGAGACTTTGGAAAGCCTCGTCTTTGTATTTGAAGCTTCTTAGTTCTTTTCCCTTGCGCCCGATCATCCGAGAAAAAGGAAACCTGCTGCGCCCTCACATGCGCGCCACTCTGACCGAGTCGACCTTTTTGTCGCTGACGCCCTGCAGGCCCAGAAGGGCCACGTCCTGCACTGCCTGGACGCCAATGGTGACCTCAAATTTCGTGGCCCTGGCCCGGGCCGGACTGGGGGGGGTTGGAACCATTTGGAAGGCATTTGGAACGCAGGACACCAGGTCAGGCGACATGCGAGCAAAAGACTCCTGGAAGTCGTGGACTGTGCAGTTTCACTACAGGTCAGGCGCATGGGGTGTTTTGAGGTGCCTTCCAGTTCCAAAGAGGGTGCCAAGGCCTCTACCCCGGCAATGGAAGCCTAATAAGGTAGTCCCTTCGCACGAAGCGGATGGTCCTGGCAGTGGATTCTGAAGAAGACAAGAAAGTACACATCTACTTGAGAGAGGAGGGGGTGAACGAAAGGTAGCAGGCAATCACAAGTAACCCTGGTAGAAGTCCATGACGGCGTGAACCGGCGCAGGGGGGATTTGATCCGGGGGGGGGGGCCCCCCCCCCAACGAACAGAATCAACTCTTACAGGACCAAACTCAATGCACAATCCCAACTCCTGATAGTAATACATTTTTGCTAAAGCAAGGAGAACTCAGGTAGCTCAAGCTACCTTTCGTGATATAGAGCTACAAGCGTATCTGACACATACTACACTTGGCATGCCCATGCCAAAGCCCAGGATGATGCCGAAGTGGCTTGGTGTAACCGTGTGGTTGACACATGTTAGCATGTTAGCACTATATAGATCTATAAGTCATGTTCCACTACTAGACTACTGTCCCACATCTGAACATGGACAGCAGCTAGTCCTTAACCAAGTCATCCGAGTGGCTGATGTCCACAGATCTCTCCTTTGGCACCGCAGATCGCATGCGGATGCCTGGGCCCTCATGCTGGGTCCAGCTTTGACCAGACCCCGTGTTGGGCAGAGGACCTTCGACCGGTGGTATTTGGACCCGAATGAATTTGAGGGCACAACATGTAGACATGTTCCACTAGATTGTGTTGTTCCTTTTACCGTTGGACGCGCCGGAGACACCTAGAACTGTCTGCCCTCCAGGGGGTCGCTTCATCAACACCTGCCACCATCTATTTGAAGGCATGCACAAGTTTGCACAGGAAATTGACAACTTACATCAGCTTACAACAACAGATATAGAATGACCACACCACCAAGTTCCAACAGTTCCAACAGATTGCCAATGGTCACCAGCTGCAACTGTCAAGTCCCCCTTGCTGTACCCCATCTCCCCGTCCTTTCACAGGCCGCTAAAACCTCCAGCTCTGCCGCACCCCCCACGCGTGGCCGCACATGCCTGGGCCCCCAAGTGCTGTCGGCGCCAGAAAGGGGCCACACTTGAAACATTGGAGCATGTTGAAGGTGATTCCTTGAACAAAAAACAAATGCACCGAAAGCCATTTACATCCAAGGTGTCCAGTGATGTCATTTGGATGTTGCACCGATTCTGCTAAGTGGGGAAGTTCATACTGGGGAAAAATTCGGTGAAACACTGTTTTTCAACGTGGCAAAACGCCAGAATCTTCGGAGGTCTGGTACTCTTCTTGATCTAGGGGCCCAAAGTCTCTAGGTTTACAAACACCAAAAGCCAAGTTGTGAGGCAGCCAAGTTGTATTTTCAATCAAACGGGATGCTTTAAATTGCTCTAATGTCAGCATCACCAAACACCCCGCCAAGCAAGCAAAAGCATGCGCCCCTAAAAACTGAATCCTTTCAGGTATGTGAACCACCAACCAATTGATGTCTTTAAATGTGTTCGCATGCTTTAGATTTTTTGAGCAACTTCTGATGGCTCTCCTCACGCCCACAGCCAGCGGCCCAGGCACATCGCCAGCTGCCATGCACTCCCGGCCGCGGCGCTGGCCACTGCGCTGTTCTGGAGCCGTTCATGCGGCTGGATCCTCACGGCCGGGAGACATGGCGCGCCCATCTGGGCAGATGTCCCATGGAAATCGGCCGTGTGACGTTCACCTTAAGTTTAAGTTGAAATGAGAGATCCCACATCTCCTTATATGATCGCGATTAGGGAAAAAAAACTATGATCATAAGTTCTTGATGTTCTTGAGAGGCAATTCTGGTGGGAAACCTGATTGGTTCATCAGGCAACATGCTGGGGCTTGCTACAACTCATACTAAACCAAAACCAGAGTAGGCCACGACTAAAGTAATGGTGTAGGCGACCAGCGATCCAGATCGAATGGACTTACACTCAACTGCCCCCTTCATCCTTTGCCCCCGACTCTCACACCAGTAGCCATGCGTAGCCCCAACCACGGACAACGCTCAAGATGGACGTGCTGTGGACATCTAGCGAGTTGGGGGCAGTCTCTATCCAAGGCTTTGTGTTCACTGGAGTTGCTCCGAGTGACAAAGTGTATTAGTCTCACTAGTCACTAGTCACTTCCAAAAGTGCCCAGTTACCAGTTAAATGGCAATTTCCCGAAGCGTAAACTTGGGGGCCAGGGCTCTGGTCTCAGTCAACAGCAACTGCTCAGTCCCTCGCCAACTGTTTTGGCTTCTCGCAGGGTCCTTGCCAGTGGCGAACTGCACAACAGCCAAATGGCACGAGTCCATGCAGGAATCGCATTCCTTGGAATGCTCATTTGGCGCACGGGGTCCACGAAATGGAAGCTGCTGCACAAACCGGGAACAAAACTGAAATATGCATCAATCACATATGTATCTGCTGCCATGTCACATCGCAGACACAAAACCTCGTTGGAAGGAGTGGACGAGGTTGCGAATCATGGGTTGGTAATTCATTGTAATTTCTGATCAACGAGTACATCTAAGTGTAATGTTGATTGTTGATCAGCAAACCGCCCATATAGAGATGTTGGGCCATACAATAAATTAAGGTGCTTGATTCACCAACCGTCAGCATGATCATCACCTCAAGCGCTCAAAAACTACTCTGTCGGAAGGCTGTGGATGTGGAAGTGATCTTATCTTCCTCTACCCGATGGGGACGATGTTTGTTTGGGCCAAGGGTTGATGGGGACGACCTCTTCCACGCACCTCTACCGTCCAGTTTGTCTTCAAAGGAACCGTCAAATATATGTCTAAGGTTCCAACCTGTCCTCTTCTCAAGGGATATGGTTCTTTCCATCTTCCGCTCACGGACCAACGTCGACTCTAAATCGAACTTGAAAACCCCTGGATTCTCTTGACTGAAAGTTTATATAAACCACTAGCATCCACGAGCTATAAACCACCTGATCTCGATCGCACACCGTGTCACTCATCTCATCCGCAGGCTCCGCAGGCTCAGGCAGCAGTCTCAATGCCCAGCGCCACTGTGCTTCCCTGGCCCGGCCCCACTGCCGTGGCGTGTGTCCAACAGTCACTGTCTGAGGGGTCAAGATTTATCTCAAAGCGAGTAAGCCGCCTATGTAATCCACTTTTTTGTGGTTTCTCTTCAAAAGGAGTGTACAGTACCCTTTGCCCCATCTGTCTTTGGATCAACAAATTCCTCAAAGAGGCTCCCTGGCACTGCCTGGCGCCCAAGCCTCAGGATCGTCTCTATCCACTCTTGCGCCAGATTAAAATTGCCCAGAATAATTGAACCCTTACAGCAAATATCCAGCATTCGCTTGGCACAACCTAAGTTTCTGAGCATCACACTTCAGATTTTGAGCAATTCGTGTCACAGTTTCACGCACTCGCTCCGCACTGCGTTGCCGCTCCGAGCGCCCTTTGTGCGCCCTTTGGGCGCTTTGCGCGCATGGGACAGGCCTTTGGTCCAGGAGTTGGGGAGAGTAAGGTTTCACAAATGCTTGGATTATGGGGGATTGGGCCTGGGAGAATGCATGTCACCGGAAATGGAAAACGATGTGAACACCAACCAACCGAGGTACCGCTGTGCTCAGAAGTGCCATCGCCGCAGCTGCTCATGATTTCGTCTCGTCTTTCTAGTTCAGCAAAGGTCTGTTGTGGTTGGATCTTTTTGATTCAGCCCCAAATATAGTATAGACGGTTGATTAACCAAGAGCAAAAACCCCTCATATGGAGATTCATCAGCCGTCTTTCAGTTGCAAGTTGCAAGGTAAGATTTCTAGATTGGGCCTTCAAGAATGACCACAAAGCTTCCAGGTCAGGGATGTTTGTTGGATTTTGGTTGACTGACTCTATCATTACAGAGAGGTTCTTTCTTTGGACGCATCTTCTTCTCTTACTTTGAGGAGGTTGGCACTCCGCAACTCCTCGCACCTGCTAGTCTATGATGAAAAGCACATTCTACTCTCACGCCTTCCGCATGAGGCCTGGGAAAGAGGCAAGGATGGGTGGACAACGGTGGCGAAGACGCATGGATTTATGGGTCCAAACAGAGTACAAACAGGAATCCATGGTGGACATGCCGCAATTGCTGGGGCACATTGCGTTTACAGATCTATTCAGGTGCCGTAGCCAACTGGATAGTCTGGGGGATGTACTATTCTGACTCTTGTATGGTTTGTTTGTGACTTTTTTGACCCGCAATCTGATCAGCCATTGATTCTTATGGGGATGGGGGTTGAGCACAAAACGACCCCAGACATGAGCTGTAATGTGCAAAAAGAATGACAAGGTGGGTCCTGACTCGGTCCTGACAGTGTAGTCGCTCAGACCAACGGTTGGGCAAACATCTGAACGGTGGAGACCAGGATGCTGCTTGGTTGGGAAATGACAGCGAACGTTCATAGGATAGCCGAAAGGTGTTTCTGTTGGTGGCATGGAATCGGAGGTCCAAAAATTGGCTCAAACCTTACGCAGAAGGCTCCTAAATGTTCCCCTTCTCCAAACCTAATAGCGATGGCCTCCACCCTAATAGCGATGCCCTCCAACCTAATAGCAAAAGGAAGTTACGCAGGTTTGGCTCCCAAATGTTCCCCTTCTTCATGTCACCAATTGAGGAGCCTTCCCCTTCTTCGTGACCCTTCCCCGACACATCGCACCAGGCGTTGTGGCCGCGGCGCGGCGCCGGTTTCGGTCTCCGCGTTGACCACCGAGTTCGTCGCACACGCCTGGCCGCGGGGCGCGCGGGGCACACGTCGCCTGCCAAAATATACGTGGAATGATCGGGACCTCAGATTCTTCGATCCCCGTGATGGTGAGTTTGGCTCCACCAAATGGGGATCGCAAACGGCTGGCTTGCGCCGGTCCCTCATTTTCGGACAGCCTCGTGTGAAAAAGAAACTTGGTATGACTTGAAACATGGATGTTACTCAATGAACTCAATTGTTTGGAACCAGAAAGCCCATTACTCAATGATCCAAGGTCCAGACTCGGATGATGCAGATTTGCCCTCTGGAACCTCTTCATGGAAAAAACGTTTGCGGCATCGCACTTCAAAGCTGGCGGAGATTGATGAAGGCACACACAAACCTCCCATCACTCACTTCCATCGAAGGTCCAGGTTTTCAGTAAGAGGGGCCAGCTGCGAAGGAAACCGGGGGGATGTGTCATGATGTTTCTTTGGCTGTTGCACACTGTTGACCTAGCATGCCCCCATGCCAGGCGCATGCTCCTGCCCTCCAGAATCCTCAAACAGAATGGCACACAACTCCCATACCGCGCCATACCGCGCCGTACCGCACCATACCGCACCAGAAGCCACGCTCCCTTTTCCGCGACGGACGGTTCTCGCCCACGTGTGGTCGGGCGTGCCGCCGGCCCGACTCTGGCCCACAGTCACTTGAATGTCAGAGGTCTGGGTCAGCTGAAGACTTTGCAGTTACCAGGATATTGGCCAATGGCGTGCGAACTCTCGATGAGGCGGCTTTGGGGGCGATCTAAAGCTTGTGGCAAAACCCTGCACAACCTGCAACCATGTATAGAGTACGTAGTGGAAAGTGACAGTTGATCGTCTAGTTCCGGTTTGTTAATCAGTGTCACTATTCTTCAGTGCACTACTCTTTGACCGTCTTTGTCCTGCTGCTGGGATCAAAGTCACCTTCATCTTTCACTCATGGTCATTAATTCTCAGTTTCAGTAATGTTGTGCAAATGGACCAGGGCTGGACAAGCGTGCTTGGCTCAGTAGGGCTTGTAGCGTCCGCCTTCGGGCCTTTCCTTCCTCCGGCTGTTGATATCCTGTCGAACGACGAGCCGGTTCACAGGACAAAGCTTAGATCTGTATGCGTACACAAAAAATGTTCCTTCACCCCGGAAGCCTTGGCCCATCGCGGCTTCCCCTGGGACCTGGAAAATGATGGTGTTGCCCGATCCAAGCAAAGTATTATATAAGGTTTTTTCCAAGATGGTGGTGAGAACAGTAGGCAATAAAGAGGTTTGGCAATACTATCGATACTTACTTGCAAGTAATCAAGTTAGAGGTATAAAGCAAGTATTTCTAAACACGAGTGGAACCCCCAAAGTGGCTTGGCCTTTAAAGCACCAAACTACACTCCATTGTTACCGACCCGTGCCAAATAAATCGTAGATGGTCTCAGAATGAATCGCAATGAGGAAAAAGCCATCTACCGATTTGTCTGAAGGCGGGAAGGCAGGGGTAGTATTCGTCAGACCCCGGTCCTTGATCTTGGCCAGTAGGGCAGAGGAGGGGTTCCGCGCACCGTCCAGGCCCCGTTCCAGAACTTGTTCCTGGACCTGCGAACAAACACGAGACCGGAGCACGGTGATCTCCCTCCAAACACAGCAATGGACCGGATTGAGCGACCACCAGGAAGACCGCAGGGTAGAAAAACGCTGGCGAGGTCTAGTGAGTCTTGTGTATGTACATATTCTGTTCTGTATATATATATATATGTATCATATATCCAATTTCCTGCAACAATGGGTGATGATGGTTTCTGTTTTACAGGCCTTTCTCTAAAATAGTGATATATAATCGTCTATATACCGACTCTTGTGATGAAATCGGACACCCCCTGTAGCTGATAGTGTTTGTCTGATCATCCAATGAGACCTGGACTACAAACGATGTCGAACAAGACTTCAAAACAGCAGAGGTCGAAACCACCCAGATATTCGGCCAGCTGGTTCGATTCAATCAGCCACCTCAAGGGTTTTGAGAAAGTCCGACAGTTCCTCTGGAGGCATCTTTCAGGTGCAACACCCAAAGAATAATGATAGGGCCACACATTCACCCCATGTCCACCCAAACGCGTCGACGGTTGGCAACGGTTGACAAACCGCTCATCGTCTCATCGCCTCGGGAGAACATCGTCTCATCGCCTCACAGGCCATGGTGTCCACCCCGTAGCGTTGCAAGTAGTCCTCCAGGGTGGTCGAAGGGAGCTGGGACCCGTTGGTTGGCGTCGTGGTCCCTCCAGATGAAAGAAAGGAAACCATGAAAAGCCAATTGAAACCATACTGTAGACGAGATCCAACTGTAGAACACTCTAGGACTCTAGGATATCTAATTAGATAAGGGTCTTCAACCTCTATATAACTGCCTTTCAATTCTTCAACCTTCCACCACCTCTCCTCCACCTCATCTGCTAAGGACCTCCCCCGTGACGCCGGAGGCGCCACTTGCCCAATCGGCCCGGCACCGATGGGCACCGCGACCGTCCCGCGCTCCGTCCGCCGCGCACCGTCCCAGGGCGCCGACGGACTGTCCCGGTGTCCGCCGCGTCCGGCTCCGTCGCGCAGCCGTTGCGTCATGTCCCGGATCCTGGGCGCGGAAGCAGAAGAGCGGAAGAATAACAGAATCCAAGGTCAAACATGACCTTGCAAACGAGTACAAATACGGGATAGCAAAGTTTTTTGCATGGGTGATGTGGCATTCAATCTGCTCGGCGAACCAGTGCCGGAACGGCGGCATAAGGGCTACAAGCATCTAGAGACCTGATGGAGCTCTAGATCTTTTAAACCATCGACTGTGGAACCAGTCAATACCTTTAACTTTAACTTGAAAAAAAGACATGAAACATCAGAGTTCTTTGCTTTTTTGCTCCAAACTCCCTGGTTCCATTCTGTCATTCCAGGTGGCCGTGCTAGAAGAGCGGACGAGGCATTGCGGGCACCGTCTAAGCCCCTTTCCATGACCGCCTCCTGCACCTCGGCCGAACACCTTCGCAAGGCATCACATCCCATGGCGTCCACGGAGTAGCGCATCAGGTACCTGATAGCGTAGTGTCTCAGTCTCCCTAGTTAATAGCATACTGTCAAGTAGAGAAAGATGATGAAACCTCCAAACAGTATGTGTTTTTCGCCTTTGGTGGTTTATCCAAATCGCTCTTGCAGGTTTTGGCCCAAATTCCTGACATTCACGACCGCCGCTCTTTACTAAATTAGTCATCGCATGTTTCAACGGTTGTTCATGTATAAATGTGGACTTATGTCATTTCACCTAATTCCTTC